TGTGCTTTTTCTTTTTCTTTTCTCTTTCAATCTTTGAATGAGGGTATATCACTCAATACTTGGTGGATTTAAATGCCGTTTGAGGCAAAACGAAGAGCACGATGAGCTCTACGCACTAGTACTAGAAATTTCAGCTTTGGTGCCCTCCTTGGATTTCGAAATTTAGAGACCCATTTCAAGGGTTTTGCTCAATCTAGAGGTAGGGGCTCTTAATCCACAATTTTCTTACTCCTATGTGAATTACATCTTTTAAATTGTTGCAAGACATGCTTATTTATGCTAGTTGTAGTTTAAAGTAGTTAGAACATGTGTATGTGGCTATGTGAGAACTTGTATTAAATGTTTTATGTGAAAAACTTGCCCTATGTGATGATTAAAATATGTTCATTATGCTAGATGTATTGTTGTATATATTTCTTAAGAAATTTACTTAAATTGAGTTGGTTGTGAAATGATGAATATATTCATGATATTGATTCACTCATGCACTTACATTGGGCATGAAATGGGAGAATTTGTTTTGAAACAAAAAGGGGGAATTTTGGGAAAGTGATTTGATGAAATGGCTCTGTGAAAACCCGGTCGCCGCAGGGGTACCAAAGGGCCTGAGTGTTAATATAGCCTAGAGGGGACTAGGGAGTCGCCCTAGTGTGGTTGAGCTAGCTGGGCCCCATAATAACGCCGCAGGGTTACCAAGGGTTAGGGATACTAGCTAATCCTACTCTCGTGTCGCTGCGGGGTCACCAAAGGGCGGGTTATATTAACAATTTGAAAGTGATGGTTTTGGAAATAAAAAAGGGGAGCGACATCGGCATGCATTTTGCATTCCATGGCATTGCATTGTTTGTACTTTAGTTGGTTGGAATGTTGTATTATCCCGACCTTGTATGATCCCCATTCCTATTGATCCATTCTTTGTATGGATTCACAAGGACACAAAATGCGTGTCTTAAGTGCTACCTACTGAGCTTTATGCTCACCCTATTATTTAATAATTTTTTTTCAGCAAACGGGAAAGAAGTGGCGGATGACTTTCCACCACAGGCCTAATTTGGATTAGAAAACTTCTTTTTGCTATTTTTGTTTTAAGTCCCATATTTTTGTAAAATCTTAGTTTGTTATATTTGGTATAGAGATTTGTGAACTCTTGTTATTGTAACTATATTTTGGGGGTGTAATTATGATAATTTGGACTAAACGGTATGTAGATGTTCCACCATGAGATGAGCCATGTTGAGGTATAATGAACGGATGGATGGGATGTTGGAGTATATTAATTGTATTATGTGTTGAGACAGGTTCGAGGTGTTTTGAAAGGCCAGGAAGGGCCATTGTGTTTTTTTTATTTGAGCAGGTGGTTGTAATCCCCTTTTTAGGGGATGTTATGCTAAATTTTTGTTTTTTTAAATGGTATTAGTTTAGGGTCATTACATATATACCAAGATTCTTTAAATTCACAAGGTTAGAACACTAATCAAAACAATATATATATAAATTCCCAAAAATAGAAATGCAAGGGTTTAGATTACACAAGACTTAGGGCTTATCCAAGCCCTAAGTGTAGATCTAGCCAATCATGGAGGAGGTGGATGTGGTCATGAAACCTTTAAGGGTAAGCTCCAAACATGGCTCCATCTTCTTCTTCTTCTTCTTTAAAACTCTAGAGAGAGAAAGAGTAAGTGGATCTAGAGATGTGTTCTTGAGATGTGCTTCCACTTCTCTCTTCTCCTCTCACCCTAATCTCTAATTTTCTAGAGAGAGAAAGTAATGAAAATATAGAAATTACAATGAAATATATCAATCTCTCTACAAAAATGGTTGAATCCCTCTTATATACAAGGCTTTGAGAGCCCAAATATGTGAGAACTCGGCCCTAGAATCTTCCCTTACAAGCTCTGCCCAAGTTGGGTCGAAATGAGATTCAGATCTGCTTTTTAATAACTTTCACGAACAGTTCGATCGATCAGAGAAAAGTTCGATTGATCAAAGTTGGTTCGATCAATCCAACTTTTCTCAGATCGATCAGACTTTTCTCAGATTTATCAGACGTTTCTCAGATCTATCCAACTTGGCAGTTTTTCAGCATTAACCTCATTTTGCTCCAAATTCTCACAAAGACTTAGTTTGACTCCAAAAAGGCCTTAAGAAGCCATTTTTAGCTCGTTTTAACTTTATTGACCTAAAAAGGAAAATAATAAGAAATTAGTCTAAAACGGAAAAATAAGATAAATAAAGGTTCTAGAATGTTCAAGCTTAAAGGGTTTAAATGCGCACTTTTTAGCGCTCATCAAAATGTATTAAGTTGTATGGTATGGCTTTGTAATATAACTAGGTGCTTATACTCCATAATAATGTTAATTTGGGACAAAAGTGTAAAGACTTTGTATTAATTTTTAGTTGAATGGGAAAACTGATGTCGCATTCCATTAACTTGTTGATGTAAGTGACCATGGCATGTAGAGCATTATTTTGCATTGTGTTAGGACCAGTTTTGGACTTGGATTAAGGTCACTATGGGACAATGGCGTACCTAAGTGTACAAATGTTCAACCTTAGGCTTTTCTGGGCATTTTTTTTCAGGTTCTGGACTTGGGGAACCGGTACCTTATCCGGGAACTGGTTTAAAGGATACTTTGATTCATGTTTGGGCATTCTGTCCATGTGGAATAGGTACCAAGTTTGGGAACCGGTTCCAGCCCTCCGGTGGGCTTTTTGCCCTTCACAGTTTTATCAGCTTTGATCACTTAATTTCGGACGGTCATAACTTATCCATTCTGAATCCAAATAGGATCATTCTTGAGTCCATTTTCAAGGATTTTGTGTTAGCTTTCTAATGAGACTAATCTCATCTTCAAATTCCCTTCATGTTGAGAGTTATGGCTGTTTTAGTGGAATAATATCGGAATTTCCCTTGAACCGGGTAAGGATACTTTTGGGAAATCATAATCGATGACTGTAGAACCTCACCGAGTGTCAGGGTATGATTCAGAATGATTGTTTTAAACCTCATTTGATAAGTTTAAGGATGGATTATCCTCTTACATTGTAAAATGACCATTTTACCCCTAGTTTGTGTTCGGGTTTGGTTAAGGACTCGGTTAGCGATCCAGACCCCCGATTTAGGTCATTACAGACAATAAGGACCTAAAGCTAGTGGCAGTTGCAGCCGCTTCTCTTCTGTGCATCGCTATACTAGCATTTGGAAAGGCTCACATTCGAAGGCCTCCCAAGTACTACATCAAGACTGTACTGTACTATGTCTATAATGCCGTTTTAGTCTTAGGAGTTTTTTACGCGGTAGGTGATCTAATCAAGACACTCATGGAGAAGCTTGGCTGGTTCGAGTCAAGTGTAGATGTCACTCTGTCCTTTCCTGATATGAAATCAGGAAATCATTCTTGGAGGTCCTATTGATGTCATGATCAGACCTGAAAAACAAAGTTGCTCATGGCACTTGTTAATTAACAATTGTCACTTGTAGGCTTGCAGTTGCAGCTGTTTGTTTATAAGTTGTATGTTTTTTTCACTTTGCTCTTCCTTGGTCTTCTGAACTAGGAGGCAATGTGGAGGACCTAATAATTATTTGGTCTTAATAATTATTTGGAATAATGTTCAATTCTTCAAGTTGATTGTTGAATTTGAAGGGTAAACCAGCTACTGTCATTGACATTGTTTTCACATTATAGTTTTGTTGATCTATTTTTTAAGAGTCCTACATATTTGTAGACTATTAATTATCCAATAAAAAGATTTATCATAATGGTTGGTTATTTTCCAAGTAAAATAGAACTAGCACTATAGCACAATGCACGAGGTTTTTGTCACTGCGTAGTTAGGGAAGGGTTAGACATATGCAGTCTTGCCTCTGCATGAGGCTAGACTATTGTTTAGAATGCATCATATATCTATCGTCCTGTAACTTCTCTTCTGGTTCTATATCAGTAAGCCAAGAGACAGATATAGCCTTTGGCATATTATTTGGACAAAAATGAAACTCATTGAATTGTCATTTGTGTACTGCAAAGTTTTACCATCACTGGTGTATCATTGGAAGTTCAATTACCACAACCAAATAGTCTGAAAAAATTAAGTGTGTGTGAGTACTTGAAAAAAAAAAAAAAAAAAAAAAAAAAAAAAAAAAAAAAAAACTAACTAACTAACTAACAAAATTTAAGGTTGTGTACCCTCTCAACACAACACACCACTGCTCAATTTATCATTACTATTAATATATTTTTTTGTCTCCTTTATAATAGGCACATTGTAAGGATTGCATGAGCTGGAGAGAGGAGATCACATGTCATATTAAGTAACAAAGAAAGGATAATTACCAAGCATTGACTAATCATATTGAGCCCCATACAAGGTCATTAATTATATAGGAAGATTGTTGTAAAGAAATGTGAATGTCTGATTGGATTATAAGATCTTAATTAATATTATAAATTGTTTTAAGTACCATGATTAATTTTGTATTCTTTATGAAGTCATGATCAGAAAAATAAGTTGAGCTTGACCTGCATTTCTAAAGTCAAGGAAGAAAAAAAAAAATAGTATTAGTTATTAATCAGAAAACTCACATGGACAATCCACTATTCCTGCGCTAATGAGATGAATTTATAAGAGGGAAAGTTTCAAATTCAACAACTTTTGGAGCAAATATTACAAAACTAACAGTTTATATCAAATATTTACAAGATTTGACAAAAGACCAAAACTAATTACACAACGCATTTCACTGTTCATTTTTATTTATGGACCAAAATACCCTTCACCAAGAAGCTTTGCAAAGGGCGTTTTAGTATTTCATGGATAAGGGCTGAAGGGCATTTTGATTCATGAATAAAAGTGAACGGTGAAATGTGTTAGTTTTATGATTAATTTTCTGTCTTTTGTTGTAAAAAAAGGTCCCAGCAAGCTTCATGTTCTGTTTGTTCATAGATGAAAAGTTGTAGCTTGCATTCTTTCATCTCAGTCATAATATATATAAATATATATATATATATATATATTTAATATTATATATATTTGTTCATATTAATCATTGACCTAAATGTGGCTATATAAGAAGAGTATGAGTGCTAAAGATGAGCTATAGAAGCATTGCAGCTCTCTTAGTAGAAGGTAAAGCAGGTGAGCCTTTTGTGCTTCTGGGAAATGGAAGTAATGGAACAACAGGAGGAGGTGGAGGTGGAAGTGGAAGTGGCTTTGCAAAGAAGGCGGCCTCAGCATCAAAACAATACTACTAAAGAAGAAGGAGAGGACAAGGGAAGGTTGGGAGAGAGTGTTTACCATGACAACAATAGAGGTAAATATATCACACTTGTACTAACCACTCTCAACTATTTGTTTCCTTATGCATTGTACTAAGTGTCAAGTTGTTTTAATTTCCTTGCTTGCCATTTTAAGTTTCCTTCAAATAGCTTCTGCAGACAACTCATGCAAAATGATGAAAATGACGGTCCCATTCTCATAGTCTCAAATACCTTACCACACTTAGACTTCAGATTCTGCTTTGCGTGGATATTGATCTCATACTTGATCTCACTATTGATTTTAATTCTGTTTATACTTGCTGGCCTTCATGTTGTTGGCTATGCTTTGATAATAGCTTGCATGGTTGGCTTGTCCTGTACTTGCTTGGCTGTATCAATGTTCAGCTGGGGATGCTGCCCTTATTTGGGCTTTTGACCTTATTTGCGAATGAAAGAATGTGGAAAATGTTGCGGCTGAATTGCAAGTCCTTGGACCGATCATATTTAGGAAATTCTTACTTTTGGATATCCTTGATTTATCACATTTTGATATTGTAATGGCAGTAAGAGCAGATTAGAAGACTCAAAATTTCTGCTGTCAAGGTGACAATCCCTTATTATATGCTTTATTTTCAGTTAAATAATTATTCAATTTATCTAGGAATCTGGATATGTGTGTGTATATGTATATATATATATTAGATGAAGATAAATGATTGCTGGTTTTTCATTCAATTTATGCTATTATTGACTGCTTATATATGTTATGCTCCAAAGCTTTATGGGCCTGATTTAGAAAACCAGCTATATACATAAAAATTAGTTGACAATTAACCAGTTTCCTTCTTGCTAACTAGCAAATGTTTCAGATTTTTTTTGTATTTCTTTGGGTGGATTAATATGTGTCTATTTGTAACTGTGCATTCAAATTAAGCACAACAATTTTCTATCTTAATATTTAGTGCATTGTTGCAGGTACTGAAACAATAACTACTGGAATTTCTGGAATAAAAAATGCTACTTTTGAATGTTCCCTTTCTGAGTTGAATTTTACAGATCAGGGCAATGGAAAGATTTTAAGCAATGACATCAACCGTCAAAGAGAAAATCTGAAGGGTGAAATTTCATATGCCTTAGATGCACAGTTTAAGCTTGTAGGTAAACGAACAAGAGAAAATGAAGAGAGTGAAGAGGTAGTGATAGAATTGGAATTCGAGAGGACAGTAGAGGATATGGACACACATGCATTGTATTGTCCTAATTGTAATTCTTCCATTACCAAGGTTATTCTTCGTAGAAAGAAACGTCTGTGCATTGGGATGCTTATCATGCTTCACTATATTCATTCCTGAAGGTAAAATTTCATTGCAGTCCTGCCGATAGTTTACTCTTTGTTCCCTTCATCTTCATCCGCTGTGCAGTTTGATATTACTTCTGAGCAATGATTAGTCATATAATGATTTGAGTAATACATTCATGGTTATCTATACTATATACTGCATTTTATTTTACATCTTTGTTGTAACTGAACAAGGAGTGAGTATCAAATTAATAAGGTAATGTAATGGCATAGTTTTCGACTTTTATCATCATTCTGTCACCATATAAGGGACCACGATGCTTTATTTGTGGGCATTTTAAGGTTTAATTAATTAGGTGTGCTAGTAGGACAAAAACTTGTAATGCCACTAGCTCCACTATTAGTCCACTGATCATGACACAAAGTTTGAAGCTTTCAGGTGATTCTCAAATCCTCAAAACTTTTAAGGGGAAGCTTAATTTACTTAGAATGAGAAAATTTAAAATCAAAACCTGTCATAATAAGATTTGGTATTTTCCTGGCTGTTATTGGCAGCAACAATTACTGTTTAATGTTTATCATAGCATCTTACATCTTCAATGTAGACCAGCTCACTCTTCTCCGTTTGTTTTTTCTGCTCAATTTTCATATAACACAGATCTTGTAAAAGAAATGAATTTATTTTGGTGGATTTTCCGGTAAAAATGAGTTCTAACTTCCCATGTTTAAACTCCAAGAAATCATTGGGTGTTCAAAGACTAGGACTTGCATTGTTCAAGTTACCACAAGTATAAAAAGTTTTGCTATCTATAAATGTGAAGGGAGGCATAGGGTGATAAAGCTTAAGGAATTGGAATAAATCCTTCTATCAGATTACATTGGTGTGGCAAAAACACTTCTAGTTCCTCAGTTCTTTACTAAATCTATAGAGCATCAGAGGTCACATTACTGTTATGATCTTAATTAGTTTCTTAATTCAAGCAGGGGGAATTTTTGGGTTTGGAAGAAAAAATAAGAACCCGGCATCAGATCCATCTCTTATCTTGAATGCAGCACAGCCTGATCAAAGTGGCCAAACAATATGCAATAATGGAGTTCAAGGACCTGTGCCACCTCGGGATCACAGAATCGACGTTGTAGGGGAACCAGGTGATGCAATTAAACAGAAAATACAGTTTAAAAACTCTGAAGTCATTGAGTTTTAGTCTTTCAAGGGAGCAATGTTAAGAAATCGTTTTTTGGAGATGCATTCCAAAAAAAGGGATATTTTAAAATGAATTGAAATTAAACATTAGCAGCTTTCACTAACATTAGTAAGAATTTCTTTTAGGAAATTGTGACACACTGAATAGAAAATTGGAACTTATGCAGATGAAAAACCCATGAAAGGGGCCGAACCTCCCACAAAGCCACAGAGTAAAATTAAAGATACAAAGAATGATGACGCCAAACAGCCTAAAGGTATGTAAACTATAATCTCTCTGCAAATCCTGCTAACCGTGTCTACTCGTGCTATTCTCTTCCAATTACCATTTAAGTCTTATATTTGACAATAGGGTATTTCTGGTGTTGATTACTACTTAGGAATCAGAAGTGGATTAGCCTTTTAAATCATATATATATATATATATATATATAAACACAGTCCAATTCAATGTGAAATTTAGTCCTGATCCAACAGAACCGATAACTGGAAGTGAAACAAAAGGTTCTAAAACATTGGATATCCTGAAAAGCATTGTCTATGGCGGTTTAGTGGAATCAATTGCAAGCCTGAGTGTTGTGTCATCTGCCGCGGCTGCTGATGCTACCACATGTAAGTGTTCAGAACTTCTGTTTTCTTTCGCTGTCTACGACACTGTAGAAAAGATCAGTATACAATAGTTGGATTTAGTTTTTGGTAGGTACTAAGTTTCATTTAGTGTTGAATGTAGGGAAAGGTCAGTATATAACTGTCCTTTGATTTCATGAATTACTCAACATTTTGCTTAGAGATTTTTTTCTTGAGTGGTTGCAGTGAACATTGTAGCTTTGGGATTGGCAAATCTGATTGGTGGACTTTTCATCATTGGTCAAAAAGTGAGTAAGATTCCATGTCAACATTGCTGTGTGTGTGCGCGTGCGCTCTGAGCAACACAAACAGGCTACCAGTAGTGAGTGTAGTTTTCACTTCTTAAGGAAGATGGACTTGCAGTTGGAAATATATCTATAAAAGGACCATGTTACATAAAAGGCTGGATTCTCTCTCTCTCTATATATATATATAATGAAGATGTGATGTTTGAAAACTCTGGTTGATATTGTACATGTGACTATGAAAAATCTACATTTAGCTTTGCTATAAAAAGGAAAAATGAATCTTGGCAAATTTAGGTACTTGATGTTGCTGATTAATTAAAGGGGATAACACTACAGTTATGGATTGAGTATCCCATGTCACATATTTGTATGCATAACATGAAATGAACAAGCTATGTAAACACTACCAAAAATGAGAAAGGATCTTCATTAATCATTTATTTCAGACCTCTTTTTTCTTATTATTTTACCCTTCTTGCATTTATAATTATTTTCTTGGATCTGTAACTCATTTGTAACCTTTCAGCTTCTGGAACTCAAAAATGATCAGTACGAAGAACTACTGGGAGGAAAGTGCTTACTTCATGCCATAGTTGCTCTGCTATCGTTTCTACTTTTCGGCTTAATCCCTCCTGTAACATATGCCTTCTCATTTTGGAAGAGTGACAATAAAGACCTAAAGCTCGTGGCAGTTGCAGCGGCTTCTCTTTTGTGCATCGTTATACTAGCATGTGGAAAGGCTTATGTCCGAAAGCCTCCCAAGCCTTACACAAAGACTCTACTGTCCTATGTCTGTAATGCCATTTTGGTCTCAGGAGTTTCTTACGCCGTAGGCTATCTAATCAAGGAACTCATGGAGAAACTCGGCTGGTTCGACTCAAGTGTAGATGTCACTCTGTCCATTCCTGATACGAGATCAGGAAATCCAGCTTGGGGGTCCTATTGATGTCGTGATCAGAGCAGATGAAAATAAAGTTGTTCATGGCAATTCTTTATATACAACAATTGTCACTTGCAGCTGTTTCTTTTTAAGTTGTATGCTTTTATTTCATGTCCTGTAATTTCATTTTCTCTAAATTTTATGCTCTTTTGTCCAAGTTTATTTTCTGGTGTAGACTTGCAGTCTTTGTTCTTTTCTACACTACTTTGATCCAATTAATGTCCAATGACATATCTTTCTAGAAAATGTGTCACAAAGTCGTCATCCAAGCAGGGAAGAAAATTGGCTTTTAAAACCACTTGTGCAATGATAAAAGCGTACTTGGCCGATAGAAGGTCGACTTGAAGCAAACTAGTGTTAAAGTAGGTTTTTTTTTTTTTTTTTTTTTTTTTGGTGATAAATTGTTAATATAAGCATTGAACATTGTACACTGGGAGATAGATAGCCTAGGCTAACCAAATGATAACCAGCCCAAGGAAACAAGGCCCAAAGCCCAAAGGCAACCCAACCCTCTAAAGAGCTAACAGGAACACCATTGACCATTACAGGACACAACACTCTGCAGTGAGCATAAAGAAGATGCCTCCCCCACGAACTAAATTTGATCCGGAGGCTTAGCCGGTGGATGGATAACAGAGGCGGAAAGCTCCCACTCTTCCATGATACGCCTGGAATTTGGAGAATCTGTGAATGATGAGGACATGAGTTTTAGTCTAATCATATCCAGTGTTTGGTGCAACAATGAATTTTGGGTAAATGATTTCTTCTTAAAAATCCTTGATGCCTAAGTAATGAGCTTTACACCGAGTTGTTGCAGTAAATTGTTAGGTCTGTTATTTTTAATTGGTCATCTATGCAATAAATAAGATAATAGAGTCCTCCACTTATTTGTATTTTGCATAAATAATCAAATCAAAATCATTTGGTTAGGCAATTCAATATAACTCTTCTGCAGTGAGTATCAAATTATTTGTGTAAGGGATGATGTCATGTCTTCTCAATCACATAAACACAGTCAAAAACACATCCAATTTTTGGGCTACTTATTGTATTATTATCATCATTAACTTTTTATTTTTATAATCGGGATATTCGAAAGAAGGTCTAGGGTGTGCCCATTTATCTAAAAATTTAAGGTGTTGGATAGTGTTGCATATCTATCAATTTATATTCCTTTCACTTTTCATCCGGATTCCATGTGAAACAAATACCCCTTGTAACACTTGCCCAGTCAATCCTTACAATTAATTGCAACATAAATATACTTCCAATTTGATTATTTTATATGGACAAATTGTAAAATTATATTGCATTAGCTACAGCTAGAGAGATAAATCACATGTATTAAGTAGCAGGGAGAGGATAATTAATTAGCAAGCACTGAATTGACCAAAAAATATTACTATATATATAGAATATTGAATGAGATCTTATAAGACGGACATTCACATTTCCTTACCACAATTTTGTGATAATTAATGAACTTGTCTGGGCGTCAATATGAATGCTCAATTTATATATTCTTTTGGTAAACCGTAAAGTATCATTATCATATTCTTTATGAAATGATGACGAGCGATATATGAGGTAGAAAACTAAGTAATTCTTGATGACACGCAATATATGAAGTCTGAAGTAAAAGACTTCGTTTGGCAACTGCTGTTTTTGCTTCCTATTTTTGTTTCTGATTTAGAATATGTTAACTTTTTTGGGAAGCATGTTCGATAACCTTATAAAAATATTAAATAGTTAGTTAAAAATGTTATTTAAGACTTTAAGAGGATTTTTTTAATTTTTTTTTTATTTCTGCAATGCGAAAGCAATCACAATAAATATTACCAAATACACTATAAATCACTTTCGTATTTTGCTTCACTACAACACACTTTTGATGTAAAAAAAATAAAATAAAAAATAAATAAATAAATAAATAAATAACATACCTAAGTCAACCTTAACCTACATTTTTGAAGTCAAGGTAACAACTTAGTATAAATTATTAAATCAGAAAACTCACATGGACCTAGGCATTTTTTTTATTTTCCATTTACTTTAGTCTTTTAGTACATGCGACTAAGCAAGCACCACTTAGATGAATTCAATAAAAATATCTAAGAACTCAAATTCAAAAAAATCAAAAGTCTAACTCTCCCATTAGAACAAAAGTTGACTTCCTACACCTGCTTAATTTACTTCCCTTCCAAATGGCTGGATTTTCTTAAAAATAAATTTTGAAAAAAAATAATTTTATGACTAAATAATACTATCTCTGTCCCATAAAAATAGTCCCTTTTGAAAATTGAGACTTTTTAAGAGGACATGCAAATAATGCATTGTCCGGTTTTAAATTTATTAAATTATCCTTTCAAGTTTGAATGAATATATTGTCAAGTTGAATGGTTTTTTAAAAAAACCTTAAAAGGATATATATGAAAAGATATATTTATGTTACTTATTGAAAAAAAAAAATGCATTTATGTTCTTTAAATGGGATAGTTATTTTGGGATGGTTAAAAAAAAAAAAAAAAGGAAGAAGAAAAGGTGGACAATTAAAATGAGCCAAAGTGAGAAAAATTATTTTCAAATTAATTCACAATTTAACATTTAGCCCTCTTTGCAATATCATATATACTATTCCCCTAAACTCCAATATATTGAATTCAAATGTAAAATTATTTTAAAATCTAAGATCATTAGAGGCATGAAAATTGCGATCAATGTTAAAAATTGAAGAGTTGATAAGTGTTCGAGAAGCATGTCTTTAATTTTGCCAGTGAATAAAAAAGGTAAGGTGACAATTCCTGTTCGCTTGTTATAATCATGTCGTGTTAATCTAAGGGTACTTTATTGAAAAGATTAACACTAACCTGACCCATTTAATAATCGTGTCAGGAACTCTCAACACTAATGTCCTGTAATGATCTTAATTTTTTTTCTTTTTCTATTCTTTAGAATTTTTTAATTTTTTTGGATTTTCGCCTTGCCTTGTTTTGCGTGTTGGACACCGTGGGATGTGCCGGCTGTGTCAGAATATTGTTTGGGACATTTCCTTGCATTCAGGACTCTTGGAAATATAACGGTTGTCATTTCGGCATTTTTCTGTTTTTCAGGCCGAGAAGTCTTAGGTGGGACCCGTTACCGGGATTGTTGTGCACGGGAGTTGTGTCACAGGTCCATTGTATTTCATGCATTGTTTTACTGTATATATTTATTTAATTAAATGATTAATGTGTGGTAGTAAAGTGATGGTGTATATATATTTTTATATATTATATTAAAAAGGAAGATATTTATATTTTTATGAGACGCACATGTTATTACACATTTTAATGGCCTTAAGGTCATTTGGCTGACCATTTTTAGCCTCAATTTCTCTCTCTCTCATGCTAATCTCTCTCTCCCCCTTTTTATTTTCTTTTTTCTTTCTTCTTTTCTACAAAATTGCAAAGCTTAATCTCTCCTCCATATCTTAGAATTTGATCTTGCCGCTTAAGGCAAAGTTGAAGAGCTCATCGAGACTTTCATTTTGATATGAGCAAATCTTCATTTCACCACCATTTGGAATTTCTAATTTTGGGCATTTTTGGGGTTTTTTCTTCATTTTTGAAGTAGGGGTGTTCTAATCTATAATCTCTTTGATTTTTGTGATTCATTCTCCTATAATTGAAGTATGATTTGTTTAGTTGTGATTATTTCTTGAAAAATTGCCATGATGTTGTATATAAGAATTTTACCTCCATGTGAGTTTCGTGTTTAAGTGATATGTATGTATATCAGTTGTTGACTTGATGAGAGAAGTACGCTTAAGTGATTGAGTTTTTGTTTTAAATACTTAGTTGCTGAAAATTCGTGAATAATAAGCATGCTATAAATTGTGAGAATTTTTTAAAAATTGGTGTGGAATATTGTTAAGGTTAAATTGTATGAGATTATGGCAATTTGAGAAGCATGAAGCATTCATGCATTCTATTGGGAAGAAAAAGGGAAAAATGTTTTGAAAAGCAAATGAAAAATTATTTTTGGGGAAAATGTTTTGAAATAGTTTGCAAAAACCAGGGCGCCTAGGAGTTGCTTAGTGGTCCGTGGTGTTAGTGTGATCTAGAGAGGTTAGGGAGAGACCCTAGCGAAGTTGAGCTACCTAGGCCCGCGACGCCTTGGAGTTGCCATGTGGTCGGGGATAACTAGCCAATCCTTGTCTCGTGACACCATGGAGTTGCCATGGGTCGGACTGTACTAACGGTTTAAAAGGTGAAATGGAATTGTTTCAGAAATGGGAAGTGACATTGAACGACATGGCATCTCATTGGTACATATTGCACACATAATAGTCGGATGATTTGTGTATGCATTTGTTGATATTATTGTTGTTTTACTTGTTTCCCGAGGCATGATCTCGTTTACTTGTTTATATTCTCTATGTGGATTCACGGGGTTATAAAAGGTGTGTCTTAAACACTTCCTACTGAGCGGTTGGCTCATCCCATCATATTATTATATTTTTTTTAGGGCACTGAAAGAAAGTGGCGGGTGACGCTTCTCCACATGTTTGAATGAGTTAATGGATTGTTTTGACATCTTTTATATTAGTGGCCTCATATTTTTTGTATAGCCTTGGGATGGCACGTATATTATGTATTGACCTTGGAATTGATTATAGTGCCCTTAGACGACCTCGGATTCAGGTAAAAATCCGGTAAACAATTCGGACCCCTGGGTTTGGGTCGTTACAAATTTGGTATCAGAGTAATGGTTCGAAAACCAGTAGGATGACGGGTAGAGGCCTACCTAGGGTTGTGTGGAAGGTGGATTGTATTATTTATGTGCTTATGTGTTAAAGTGTTTGTTATCTGAGAAGCTTGCTTAACTGCTTATGTGTTTACGGTTTTAAAAGGCATGTTTATTTGCTAAATGTTCACATGTTTACGTGTTTAATTGCTAAAATGTGTGTTATATGGCCATGATGATGAAATGTATAAATAATTGAAAACATATTAATTATGATATGA